AAAAACAGGAAATTTGTAAAAAATTAAAAAAAAATTTTATAAAAAAAATGCGTGAAAATGGTTAGCAACGCATGTTTTTTTATAAATTTACTAAAATAGTTTGGCTGGTAGCATTTGTTTTTTATACTTCTTTATTAGAATTATTCTAAGAAAATTTTTAATTATTTTCTATGGGATAGAAAAAGAACAGCAAAGATGAGACAGTTCCAATTGCGCCGTAAAAATATAAAAATAATATAGGCCCTTCTATTGGAATGAGAAGCCTAAAACTATAAAGTGTGCTTCAGTGCTAAAGAAAAAAAAAATTAATTTGGTAACTTCTTTTACGGTAGTTTATACATATTATGTATGTAAATATAAGTTTCAAACTAAGGTGGAATTTGCTACATTTGTATATATGGGGCGTTCCATACCAAAACGGACGGGGTTCACACTTCATGTATTTGATTTGTTTAAATTTTTTTTATATATATTTTTTTTATGTGAAATTTGAGCTTAATTAATACATTTTTTAAAACTTTACAGCACAAAAACAAAAACAAATCGATTTAATAGTTTTCTTGAGAACACAAACATATGAAAATAAATATTTTGTAAAACTTTTGTTCTTGATCATTTTTCACATACAAATTTTTTGATTAAAAAAAAATAGTTTTGGAAAATATGCCATCTCAAAGAAATTGAAAAAAATCACAACGGTAGCTCTAAGTATTGCGCTATACTCTACAATAATTTGAGCTATGAATTTTTTTTACCCCGAAGTTCAGTAAAATGAAAACATTAAAAATTTACGATTTTTTTTTAATTTTTTTAGTTTTTTTTTTGAGTACGCTGCTGATTTTCAATAATTTTTATGCTGACAGCTTTTTGCACTTTTTCTTGCGGAAGAAAATGCGCAAAGAAAAGTAAAAAAAAAAACTTCAGTTGCGCAATCGCTTTACACTTGTACTTTATTTTTCTAAATTTAATGGCTACAAAACCGCATACTCAAAAAATTTCGAAAAAAAATTTTTTAATTTTTAAATTTGTAATGTACTTATTTTACTCAACTTCGGCGTAAAAAAATTCAAAACTCAAATTATTGTAGAGTGCTCCCCATAATACTATAAGTAAATATTGCGCAATCCTTAGAGCTACCATCGTCATCTTTTAGCATTTTTTTTTTTGAGATGGCATAATTTTATAAAAAAATTTGTTTGTGAGAAATTTTTCAAGAAAAAAAATCTTTCTTCGGTCTCGAGATATTTTGAAAACTATTAAAACAATTGGTTTTTGTTTTTGTGCTGTAAAGTTTTTGAAAATGTACTAATCAAGCTCAAATTTCATATTTATTTATTATTTATGTTTATGCATCAACCCTAAAAATTTGGCGCCTTTCTCGGTTCCGGTAAGCGATTCCGCTTTCAGCGAATATTTAAAACAAACAAAAACGATTGAACCTTATTGCGCTATAATAGGTCTTTATCTAATTTTGCATAAACCTGGTATAAATGGAAGTGGGTATATGAATTAACGTTTTCAGAGATTTGGAGTAAAATTAAGCAGGACCTTTTTTCATCTAAACCTGTACCCTTTACCTATACCCATTATTGGTTGTTTTGACCCTCATTCAAAGATGTTAACAAAAAATGCGATAGGTAATGACATCCATATATCTTTTAGCTGGCATTGAATTTATCTGCGATATTAGGAACCTGCTAAGTGACGAAACAATGCTCAAATATTAACTAACTAAAGTTCAACTATTTTGCAAATCGTAGAAAAAAAATTAAGTTTTTACTTGCACTTGCGAACATTAGATTAATGACGCCTATACAAAAACAAAAGATTTAAATAAAAGGGATCAGAAAAAAGGATTACGTAGTCGGTTTGTTTTTAATTAGATCCCGACTGTTACTGAACTACTGTCAGTGTTGCCAGATGGTCCATACACTCAAGTAGCACACTGGTGTATAACTTGGTGTAAATTTGTGAATTTTGGTGCAATTAATCAGATTTATACCGAAATTCGTAAATCTACACCAATTTATGCACCAGTGTGCTACTTGAGCAACTTCACCATAAAGTAATTTCATTTCTCCCACCGAAAAAAAATACCCTAAATATCGGGCACGTGCTGCAAATCGTACGATTTGAAATCGGTGTCTTAGATCGCATCTTTGCTTAAATATAAAAAAAAAAAATTTTTCATGTTAGTTATTCGAAATCGCGCTCCCAATTTGAAAGTTCATAGAGAATATCTAACTGTGTTTTATGCGTTGTTAATGAGATTAAGGACCTTGGGGTTATATTCGACTAAAACTTTACTTTTAATAATCATGTTAATTTCATTATTTCGAAAACTTATGCTGTGCTTGGTTTCGTTCGGCGGAGCTGTGCTGAATTTTCTAATCCTTATACTACGTGGAGAAGCTCGGCCAAACACTAACATATTTTTAGGCGCAAATCTATTATTATAACATTTATAAAAATACTTGGAAAGATTTACCAAATTTACTTAAAATTATTTCGCTTATGCTCTCTATTCCTGCAACTTCAGCATTCACAGTAAGAGTGTTTTCTATTATGATTGATTTTCTTTAAAAAAATACTATATATATTTGAAGTGTACTATATTTTTTCAGATATTTTTGAAAAAGTACTATCAATTTCTAAGAAAATGTTGGCAACCCTAGTTGGGCCACTTCAACTCTCACGGCCTGATTTTGTACCTAATTTTCTCCCTAATAGCCCAGAATAACCCCAAAATCTAGTGAGACATACCCAAACTGTCAACACCGACTACTGTGCAATTTCTTATGTGAAATTTAAAATATGCACTACATATTTTATTATACATACACTAATTATATACTGCTGTTATTTAAATACTAATTCACCAATTTATTTTGTACAGCGTTCGGCAATATTCGGCAGCCTGTTGGCACTCGCCGTACTAGTCGCTCAAGCACCAAATGCGGATGGCGCCAGGATACTAGCAGTCTACGCCTTCCCAGCCAAAAGTCACTTTATGATGCATCGGGTTTTGATTAGTGAGTTGGTGAAGCACGGACATCAGGTAAGGAAATAATTACGCTAAAATTTTACATTATGCTTTTGAACAGCTTATTTTGTTAACCAACTGTAGGTCACCATGATTACAGCGCACACATTTGAGTCACTCAAACTAGGCAGCAAATACATTGAGATACTCATTGAGCCGGAGTACAGTTTTTACACGAAGGGTGAGTGTCAAATTACACATAGCTACTCAATTACACATTAACGAGTTTTAACATATTTGTACACTACCGTTACAGTTAAGGAACACCTCGGTTCAGCTTCTCTCTACGAAATGAAAAACAATGTGGCCCTGTTTCAAAAAATGGTTGAAATTCTGGGCGAGGCCACCACAGACCATGCGCTTAAACTACCAAAAGTGCAGGCAATTATTAATGCCAAACAAACGGAAGATGTCTATGATTTGCTGCTAGTGGAACAATTCTATCAAGAAGCCTTTCTTGCCTTGGCCCATATCTACAAAGTGCCTGTGGTGAGCACTGCAACATATGCCCAACAGAACTTCATGAGCCAAATGTTCGGCTTAATTACGCCTTGGTCATATGTACCAATGGGCTCCCTGCCACTAGCCGAACGCATGAGCTTTTGGGAGAGATTAACCAACACCTACTATTCACTTCGTCTGGACATAGAGCGAGAATTTAGTTACTTTCCAAAAATGGATGAGCTTGTAAAGAAATATTTTGGACATTTGCCAAGTAAGAAGTTTACAGAGTAAAGGAAAATAAAATAACTAATTTTTCTTGTAATATTTTTAAGTACAATTTCCAAGTGCTTCGGCGATGAGCAGGAATCTCTCGGCCATATTGATCAATAACTATACGCCCTTAGCGTCGGCGGAACCTAAAATGGACAACATGATCTGTGTCGGTGGCATGCATATTTATCCGCCAAAGCCACTACCCTCTGATTTACAGAATTTCTTGGATAATGCAGAGCATGGCGCTATTTACTTCAGTTTGGGCACTCAGGTTTCGAGCAAGGACATGCCGCTAGAAAAGTTAGAGTTATTCCTCGATGTTTTCCGCCAATTGAAGCAACGCGTCTTGTGGAAATTTGAAAATGAAAGTATAGCGAATTTGCCAGCCAATGTAATGATTAAAAAGTGGTTGCCGCAAAATGATATCTTGGCGCATCCTAATGTGCGTGTTTTCATTGCACATGGCGGACTCTTTGGCACACAAGAAGCGGTTTATCATGGCGTGCCAATACTAGGTATGCCTTTCTTTACTGACCAGGTATATTCATACATATTTGCCAAATCAAAACAAAACTCAAATTATTTGCAAAACCATTTGGATTTCTTCCCTTTGACAGCACCTAAATCTGAGGAAGGCAGCTGTTAATGGATTTGCCATTAACTTGGAATTCCATACACTTAAACGTGAAACTTTGAAGCGTGGTCTGGAGCAATTGCTCTTCAACCCAACATATCGGGATACTGCCAAACGGTTCTCGCGCATTTTCCGCGATCGTCC